GACGCCGAGTTATGAGCGTTTTTCAGGTCAAAAAATTGAATGCAAACTGGAACAAAACTGCCCAAATTTGCTCAAATGGTCCAGTGACAAGTATCAGAGCCGCTTATGCAATGGATGCATTTTGTCTAATACGCTAGTATATAACATTGCCTTATATGAGCGCTGAAAAGATTGTAACAGTCGATTTTACCCAAATTCTGCATTCAATTTTCGTTCTAAATAACGGTCATGACCAGCGTCTAGAGGAGCTTGGCAGATTTGGAAGGCAAATTTGGAATCACCGTGCAATACAAACCATTATAGGTCTTATCTAAAAAGGCCCACTTCTACATAACACTTTTCCCTTGTCAGTAGGATGACGTTGGCGGGCGCGTCGGCTTGACCTCTTGAATTATTGCAGTTGATAGTCGCTTCCCCTCAAACGAGCTGCCTTGGCTCCAAAACCCTGTATTTGGTGAGCTTTGTCTTCCCTCCCAATACTTTATTTCATTTGATCCCTCAAATTGACCGCTGCGGTCAAATGCGGAGAAAAGTATTCTACAGAGTATTCTATAGTATTTGATTCCCAGGCATCGATGAAAGTGAAGTCGCCGAAACGACAGCCTTAAGTAACGATCATATCGTCTGCCGGGTTCATGCTGACCCGTGCTGGAATTGTCAGGAACTTACGGGGCCAGTATGAAAACGGACCAGCGTGGTTAAGCTAGAGCAAGGAATGATATCAAGATTACCTGCCAAATCAAGGAAGGTCGAACACTGAAAAAACTTTCGGAAGTTCAAGTAATTTTCTCTGCAATTCCTTTTTGATACTTTCCTTTTAACACTGTACATAAATTATTTTATCCACCCGTGTGTCAATACATCGATTTCCTTGCGATTCCATGCGATAAGTGTCTTCTAAAAGATGACAGATTGTTTGCACTCTGAAAAAAAAAACGCTGATCTGGGATGAACATAATAGAAAAAGTGGTGTATCCTGTTCAATTGTGTCCATTCATCACCCTTTCTTGTAAATGTTGCAATTCAATGATATATACCTATCAAGGATAAGGGGTTTTACACCATTGAAATATTAGGTTGTCCGGAAATTAATGTCCGTTTTGAATTTCGACCACAACAAGTCATAAACTTTTCATTCCTGAATAGCTTTTAAGGTACCATTCGATAGACCAAAGCAAGCTCTACAAGAAGGCAGTCTTGCTTTAGCGACAGCTCCGATCCACCTCGAGTTTCGAGCCAAAAACTAAAAAGATTCAACTGCCCGAAAAATCAAGAAAAATCATGATTCAGTTCGTAAGAATTCTACAAAAATTCTAACTTGCTGTAAACACTATCCACATAAGACGTATATGTACGCTGTTGCCGTATTTTTTCCTCTGTAGAAATCGAAAAAACGAAAATTTTCATACTTTTGCAAAAGTGATGCTGTGTCGTCCCAACATAAGTAGATGTATATCCTATTATAGATGAGTTGACAGTAAAGTTCCGGCGCAATTGGAGCCAAGAGTGTTTTCAAATCCTAGATCAATTGTAAGATTTGCTTTCACGGAATAAAAAAAGGTTTAAGTTTGCTGATGCAAACGCAACTTCTATCTTCTGTGGATAACTAAGTCTAAGAACAACACTTCAAATGTGGTGTAAGAAAATACTACAGCCCGCTAACTAGACTAAAAAATACAGAAATTTTTCGCAAATCGTAGTAGTCTATACAAGGGAAATTTTCCTGCGAAGTTTTTTCATTTTTATGCAAACTCGGTTTTTTTCAGTCTTGAATAATTTGGAAATATACTCCTTGATCTGATTGATGCAGGTACCGTTCAGTAGAGCATAGTAAACTATACAAGATAGCGTGTAAAGTTTGCACCAACTTCAGTGTACATCCAGTCTGAACCCGAGATTTAAGAAACTTTGGATTCCCGGAAATTGAGAACCTATATATTCTCGTCTAAAAAACTTATCGGATCTAACACCCGCTCAACACGCTCATATAAACAGTTGCTGTATTTTTTGCAGGCTAATAAAATAACGCAAATTTTTATGATTTAAATGCGACGCTTCTTTTTATTTAGGTGGGCACATAAGTAACGCATCCTTTCATATAACTTCCCTTTTTTTTGAACCTAGCGCATTCATTTTTTGGCAATATAAGGATTATGATGATAGCTTCAAAAGCAGACAATCTTGCCTAATTTCACCACCTTATGTAAGGGTTACGGTGGGTTCACGGTATAATGGGACAATTTTTTAATTGCGCTAGATTTTGAGCAGTTTTACCTATGGGTGTTATTCGACATGCTGATCACAAAAATGAGACCCGTTTTGCAAGGAAAGGCCTCTTTTGTAAGGTCAAGAAATGAATTTTATGTTAGCGAAAAGTGAGCATGGTATTCGTGTTCACCGTACTGGATCACCCTATTGTGCGAAGTTTTAGCAAATTTTGAGGTTTCGCACCATAGTCATCGACTGATTGCCCACCAAATTTTACGCATCTGACTTGTTCTATTTCTCAAGGGCGCCTTGTCATACATTGTTTGCAAATATCACTTCTTTTTTTGCTGACGCTGATGTGTCAACTTCTAGCTACATGCTGCCTATTATTCCTTTTTGATATCTAATTCAGGCTTTTTATGGCTTCATGCTTCCCAAAATACCGTGCAACCTCGATTTCCAGCATTTCGAAAAATGCTTGAATTTCTCTTACTTCATTATCAAGAATTAAACGGTTTGCGCAAACTTGCAGCTCACATCAATTCTATGATGCCAGAGAAGAGTTTGCTACATAACATAAGGAGGAAGTTATGGGACTTATGGTGTGCCAACTTATCAAGTTTTCAGACCCTAAAGGGATCAGAAGCATCCTAAAATTTTTTAAATTATTTTGTAGATTGTCACACTTTTTGCGAGAACTTACTTTACGTGGTATGGTGAGTTTCACCCAGTTTAGGCGGAAATTGGACTTGCGGGAGTCCGCTTCGCAACGATTCGCGTCGCTTTGCAGCCTGCGTCTCTTCATTCCCATCTATCTCGCTGAGCCAGTGGCGGTGCGTACGCGCTGCTCCACTTGGAATGTTTCGCCTACTCGGGGTTGAAAAAGACTATACATGCATTTCTTCGAGCCAGTGGCGTACCCAGGATTTCCATTCGGGGGCGGGGGGGGGACAAAGATTTTTTTTCGGATGAAGTTGCGTGGCGTTAGCCGCGCACTCCCAGAATTTTTTGGGACCTTCCGCTTTTTGCTTCTTGTCCCTATATACCCACATATCACGCACAAACTGTGAGGTTATCATCTCCTCATCCGTACCTATGTTTGCATTAGCAAACAATGAAACCAAGGCATGAACCACGAATCGTTGTCGACTTGAAAAACCTTTCTCTTATATAAAGGAAATTCTGAAAATTGACTTGTAGAATTGACAAAGAATGCCTCATGACAATGAATTACTGCAAGTTGCATTTAGACGAAACAACGAATTTAGAGATTAGGACTAAGTTGGGTTTTTGACGATTACTATGCGCAACAGTTTCATCTCTTCCCAGACAAGGCAACTTGCTGCTACAGCCCGTCGGGTAGACGATGTAAGGTCTCGATGCAAATTCAAAAAAACCCAATCCGAGAGGAACAAGCAGACATTTACAGAAGTATACGTCTTGCATTTACACATTCCAACGATCCCAACAATGGAGCCATCATCAAAACTCTTCACAAATAAAACAAGGCTGGGTGTTTTCTCCAATTTTCGTACTTTACGGAACAGATTATGAAACCGACACTGAAGAAATATAGCAAGAGAACCTTTTACATAAACATCCCATAATCGCCAACACTGGATCTAAGCTTGCACTTTTCTCAAAACAGGCAAAAGTCCATACCTTGTCTTATAGTTAAGACGATTGTGGCTCCTAATTTGAAACACGTAAAATATTGTAACTTATAAGTCACTCATGAATAAGGCACCACGGATAACATAAGCTACTTTTCGCGATAATTTAGTGGGATTTTCTGCCAGTCATTCCTTGTTTGGTTTTCTGCCAGTCATTCCTTGTTTGCTCACATAAAAAATGGGAACTTACAAAACATTATCGAAGTATTATATTTCACTATGGTCATTTAGAATGGGTCAGAAGCTCAACATTTTGAGGTTATGCGGTGTTGCGAAGGCATTTAGCAAAGATAGCCGAATAGCAGGAGAAACAGGAGCGCTTCGATTCATATTTGAAGTAAATCTGGAGCAGGAAGGATGGAGAGACAATGCGAGAAAAGAGTAAACCAAGAAAAGACGAAGTGAAAATAAGTCACTGGACTCTTCAGGGGCCAAATTGCTGTACGCGGTGTGCTTACTGCTATAATGAAGCACTAGGTACCCAGGCTGCGTACGCCGCGCAGTCTGGACCAACTCTTTGACTGAAGATTATATTTTACCAGCAGAGCTAGTCTATCCCGACCCATGCGGCACCGGGGACGCCAGTTTGTTGCTCTAGTATCCAAGAGAAGAGTTAGTACTTGATTGCTATGTATTGGATGCGACATAGGTATAGTCGATTCGTTGACCGCACGGACTGGACATCGCTGCGGAGCACGCGCCGCGAGACAAAATGCTTGCCCCAATACAAATTCGCCATTGTACAATCCGTGCTCTCGCAACATCTTAGCCGCGCCGCGCGGGTCCGCAGCGTTTGAGCAGTCCGTGCGGTCAACGAGCCGACGATACATCTACCTGCTATGAAATTGTCTTGAAATTGACACGATGATACGGCACCGTCTCCCCACTTCAGTGGCGGAACTGCGAATCCTGTGTGATCCCTTTTTCTATGCATGAAGATTGATTGACACTCTGATTACAAGCATCATACTAAAGTAAAACATAACAAAAAGTATTATAGTATATCACTACATTTACAATTTTTCCGGAAGCTAGGGAGTGCAATGGATTAGGGGAATCATTATCACATAAACGGCAACTCTTTCAAAGACCTATAGCGACTAAATGTAATAAATAAGATCAGTAGTAAGGGAGTAAGGGGTAGGGGCTTAACAGACAACAGTAAGGAAGTGGAGGAACGTAGTGAACTGTAGGAGAATAAAAAGGAACGGTTGAAGGCGGATGAATTGGGTATAGTAATGGTGATTGTGGTTTAGGCTGCTGGACGAGAAAAACCATGCGATTTGGCTCCCCATGTTCTTCGTCTGATCCCTCATCTGATCCTTCATCTGCCTCTTCAATCCATATAGGGGCTGCTTCTTGCATCGGTTCTGCAACCCATGCAGGACTTGCTTCCTGTATTATTGGTCTTGTTGTTGTAAAGGTTCTCAGGTCAGGAACACCGTATCTTTCTGAATCTTGACGCTGCTTTCTGAAAGATTCAGCTTTTTGAAACATTTTAGCGAAATTTTTTACAACTGCATTTTCACTAAAGATTCTGCAGGAAAACGCTATGTATGAGCGAAGCTTTTGAAAAAAGCTGCTTTATGCTTCGGTAGCTACCACCATTTTTCATTTACATGAAACTGAGCTAAAAATGCACATCGTGTAGTTAAGTTGAACACAACTTCGTTTACAGAGGAATTTGGCAGAAAAAAGGGATCTTAAACATCAATGCTGCGTTCACCAATTTGCAGCTCCTTAGGCAAAAACCACTTTCAATCTAACAATAAGGTGTTCTCTGCTCAAATAACAAGAGAAAGTTTTTCACACAGAATTTCCCAAAACAAACACATCCACATTCATACTTTCGCTCCGTATTTTTAAGGTGAGTATCGCTAAAGGAACATCATTGAGCCAATTACCAAACTGTTTTCAATTTTCTTTGTCGCCTTTAATGAAACAAAGAATGGTATTACTGATTATATCATTGACAGACTGACCTTATGGAAACATTCCCAAGACTGACCTTATGGAAACATTCCCAAGAACCGAAGTATGGTAGAGGAAGAGCAGCAAGATCGTGAACATTCGGACAAATAAAGAGATGTGTTTTTGATGATGTTGTTAAATGATATTCCTCAGATAAATCGTTTCATCCCGTCAGGTTGCTTGGCTGGCAACTCCACACCATGCAGAGAAAAAACCTAAACGGGAAACATCAGCGCCCTTGAGACCTTGCTTTTGAAATGAGTTGGAACTATGCTCGAAGTCATTTGACTTGAAATCTGAGCCTGCATACAATGCGCGGCAACCGACGTCAACTTGGTTTTTGCTGAGTCAGTAAAACCTTTCCTAGCGTAACAACATATCTAGTTAAATTGACGAAATGTCACTGGAAATGAAGACGTTTCAACCTTACAAGTCCTCAAGTAGTGCTTATGGTGTGCATTACGCATATTATGTTACAAATAACTCGACTCTTTGTCTATACAAATGGTTTCAAACCCTCGAATATTCTCCCAATATTATGCAAACCTGTTTAAACGTATCCTGTGGTTGAGTAAGCACGACTAGGATGGAATTATGTACTATAACGTACAAGTAATGTTACTGTATCTTTCCCATTCCAGTGGATTGTCGAGAAAGGAAGAGATCAGCACTGCTAGGAGACACCTCTATGTTCATTTGTAGTACAACCGTTTCAGGTCTAATCCATGCTGTTGCGTCTTAAAAACTTTTATCAGAGTCCCAAGTGCTCTTATCAGTTCTTTTTTCACGAGAATATTAACAACATAAGCGAAGGCCCTCCGAATCTCGTTGACTTTGTGACGATCGATAGTGGCGATCGGAAGTCGGCTGACCCGTGCTAGAAAAAACATGATGATGCATTTTAAATGAAACCAGCTGAGAAGCAGGTTTGCGATCGACTTCTGATAGATTATCAAAGGATAAGCCCCACTCCTTCACAAGCAAGTGCGAACACTCTGTGAAATGGGCTGCTTGCTAGTTCATTTCTAATGGCGGTGCTGTTCTTATAACGGAGACTACCTAACGTGGATTCTCAAAGCAAATGACTATGTATGAAGTATGAATACCCTTCAAAATTTGCGGCTCTACTTCACATGTTCTTTTTCCATTCAATTGTGGCCTTCAGTGAAGTCTCTACGTCTCATGCAAACGGATACAATTTACTTCACCAAATTTTATTTCAGACGCTGTAACGTGCTACAAAGCAATGCTCGGATAACTCGGATAACTTTGACATGTGAAGACTAGACAAGAAGACATAGGTTCTTAGCTTTTTTGAACGAAATATTCAAAAACCTCAACCACAAGCTATACACAGCCGCATGGTAAGTAGTAACCTCGGTGGTGACCTCTATAGTAGTAACCTCGGTGGTGACCTCTATAATGTCTACGGCATGGATAGTACCGTGGAGGTGGTGGAGGTGGTGGCGGTGGTGGTGGCGGTGGAGGAGGTGGTGGAGGTGGTGGCGGTGGTGGTGGCGGTGGAGGAGGTGGTGGAGGCGGTGGTGGAGGCGGAGGGGGTGGTGGTGGCGGTGGAGGAGGTGGTGGAGGTGGTGGCGGTGGTGGCGGTGGAGGAGGTGGTGGCGGCGGAGGTGGCGGTGGTGGAGGAGGCGGAGGAGGAGGGCGGTGGTGGTGGTGATGATGGACAACAACCACTACGCGTTCTGGTTCCGGTCCCCATACTGGTTCGGGCTCATGTATCGTCCGTGTAACAACTGGAGCGGTCGCAGGCGAATAGGGAATACCGTATCCTCCATAATGACGGCGTTTTCTAAAACAAGCAAATTTACTGGAATAAAGTCTCTCCTTATTGAACAGGAACTTTTTGTTGCATTATGTGTACGGTCTCGGAAACATGACTTTTTATAGACATGAACATCGTAAATGATGTTCAGGTCTAGAAATGATCCTTAAATCATTGAATCTGGATACATTTACATCTTGGCGGGTGGGTCATGTTTCTAATCATTTGCGTATGACTTGACAGAGCATATTCCTGCCTCATAATGTAGCTCTATCCTTTTTGACATTTCTTTCAGGAAAATTATGGAGTAAAATTTCAGTAATCACTTTGCAAGAGGTGCGCACAGGCACAGGTTGAATCAATGGGTAAATCCTAGTTCTCAGCCATATTCCTGCCTCATAATGTAGCTCTATCCTTTTTGACATTTCTTTCAGGAAAATTATGGAGTAAAATTTCAGTAATCACTTTGCAAGAGGTGCGCACAGGCACAGGTTGAATCAATGGGTAAATCCTAGTTCTCAGCAAGTGTGTCTCTAATACTAACTACATTTTTGCTTTTTCTAAATTTTTTTAACACTTACTACTTGTTTCGCAAATTCAACCAAAGATGTAGTGCTTGTTGAGAGCTAGTTAAGACGAAGCTCTGTTTGATGCATTAAAGATTTTAGGAAGCAAGGTGAAGTGTAAAAAGGTTGAGCAAGTAAAGTACTAAATACAAAATATAACAGAAATTCAGCCCTATAAAACATATTCTACAAAAGTGCATTGGATTATTGTTGTCAAAATTCTTACTGCACTGCTTCCTGCTCTTAAGAGTCTTCATTTCTTGTATTTTTTCACAGTGCTTACATATGTGTCTTTTCCCTGCGCGCGTACATCAAAGCCATGAATAACTAGCAACATGACATTGACTACGCAATGACTTCCACGTGGGACCGCTTGACACACATGCTGTGTCGCTTCAGAAGTTTTCTTTTGCGCTAGAGCTAGAAATAACCTCTAATTCAGGAAAATGATGACTGATCCGCGATAGGCTTTGCTCCCAACAGGCAAGATCAGATTTTGCATTTTCCTCAACGTGTTAGAAAGGAAAATATATTAAATTTCCTCAAAATCGATTGGCAGACAAGTATGAGTGGTGCAGGTACTAACAAGAGATATGCGAATATCTATTTTTGGCACCATTTATTGATCATGTGTAAAAATTTTTTATTAGGGAAGTGGTACATAGACCTCGGTGAAAGCAAAGATTGGCTAAACATTTTACATTTCTAAAAACATGAACAGTCCACGACTTTGCCTGTGAAGGCAGCTATTTGACGCCCTCTACTCTCAGCCTTCCAAAACCAGTATTCATCTCTTTCTGCATGACCAGTTTTTTCAATTTATTCCCGAGAAAATAGACCTGCGCGGTAGTAAAAGTTGCCGACCGCTCAGTTTGCTTTACTAAAAAAGAACTGTGGAGAATTTTATATGCAGAATTCTCGACGTTCGCTTCTTTTGATAGAGAGTCGGGCTTTTATCGAATTCGTTCAGGAATTCCAAACCTATCTTCCATGCTATCTTCCGAATGCCTAAAGAAGAAGATTTGCCCATTTGCGCTGAACTGCGAACTCAGGGCTTGGTTCTTGCGTTAAGGAGAGAGGTTAAAGAAGAATTCTAACTTTTGCGACATCTGTACATCAATTTGACATTTCTTGTAAAGAAAATTGGGTTTTCTGGCAGCACAGAACCAGCATTATTTATAGTTCTTTTACAGCGAAGTTCCCATGCCCCCCCTCCGTCTCTCAAATACAGCCAATTAGCATGGAAAAACTTGCGTATTCTTCACCTACATATTTAGTTTCCTAACTACGCATAGTTACTTTACTGCGTCGATATATGCTTCCTGGCTTGGTAGCATTCTGTAATCTTTTCGAATGATGAACTTGCAACTTCTCAATTTTCTAATACACCTTATCCGACAGACATCGAATGTTCAGCGCATATTGGACGTGACACAACTTGCCCTCGTCTGGAGGTTATGCTGTAAAAGTGACATGACAAACCGAAGCTGACGCAATCAGCGATTAAGTTTGAAAGCACATCATTTGATCAGAGTTCAAATTATTGCAAAGGCAATGTGTCATTTCACCGTCGATGTCCCTAAGTTCATTACTAGGGAGTTTTGTGAAATCAGCTGGCGATCTCGGCTCTCGTATCGCTACCAGACTTTCAACATGTACGAGAACTTTCATTGATATTGTTCATAAATTAGGTTTTCCCGAAAGTTTTGTCGTTTTACAAGAATTTGTAAATTTGCGGTGTTTTGACAAATTTGCTTCTCTGCAACTCTCTTGAAAAGAAGAACTCTTTCTCTTGGTGAGCTTATCTTAAAGGCAGTGTCCCGGCAGATTCTGCACCTCCACCTTTTTGCATGTTTTAGGCCTTTTCGCCACGTAGAATCCGAATTTGAGCTTTGAACGGGCTGAAAAGACTGATTTTGGGGCGTTTTCCTAATTTCAGAAAAGCAGCTTGGACGAGATTTTTGATGGAAAGTTGGGGGAGGTCCTCAGACGAAGATCCTGCCGCCTGTAATTCTTGCTTTGGATAGCATGCATCATCTCAGACATTCGCCGTTGTCACCCGCAGGTGGACCGCCCACAAAATGGCTGATCGCACCAAAACCCGGTGCACCGTCGGGAGACAAGAATTTAGTTTTGACCGGATTTTACTGCGATTTTGCCCCAATGCATGCGTGTATGATAGTGATGTTGCGAAATAGTCGTCTTCTCTTGATGATTGCTTTTTGTTGATTGGTGCCTTTTTCTTCAATGTTTTTGCTTTCATTCTTTCTTATACATCGCTTATAATCGCTCCTTGGGATCATTTGTGTTCTTTCATAAGATAAACTTGTCATTATACCAGACCTACTCTATCTTAACCATACTTAATGGTGCCTTTTGATTCAATTTCGCTCATTATTTTTCCTTAATTTTACCAGCACATCAATAAAAGTGAGGTCACCGTTTCCGTAGGACATCGATTTGACGGTTTGTCAGTTAAGATGAGATCGCGCGTCCAAAATGGCAACTTCACTTGCAATCTCTGCGCTGGCGTTGTAGATCGAAGGTATAGTGTGGACCCCGGCCAGCTTCCCATAGGTAGCACGCAGCGCACGCCTCTGCTGCCTTCGACGAGCTTTCTTTTTGGGGTCTAAATGATTGTTTTTTTTGTTTTCTCTCTTGTTTATCGTTGTTTCTCCATAATTTCTCTATTCCAGGTATGGCCGATCGAGACAATGGACTCTAACTTCAACGTTAGAAGAGAGCGCTGTACAATCTTCTACAATTTGCACAAGAATGCGACAAAGGCGTCAAAGTAAAACTTTCGTCTCAAAAAGTTTACGCATCTGATACTGATGTTTTTCAGAAGAACCGGCCCAGGACATCTAACGTGAGCACTGACTTGAACATCATCGAAAAAACGGAAGCCGACATTGCAGTAACCGATGCAAACGACACACATTAGTCCAATTCCAGTTGTTTTTGTCAAGTGTTCTCTCGATGTAGTTTATTTGATTTTGCGCTGATGTAGATTTTTCTGTACCACGAAGTTTTTAATAAATACTATGGCTTGATTTGTTAGGGACAGTGAAAGATGACAGCGCGGTAGACGTGAAACACACCAGTACAGAGTATGTACTCTATACTTGTGTGTTCCACTATATACTTAATACTAATATATATATATACCACTATATATGTACCCATCAGGGTGAACCGCTGCTTTAAGGATCGGGGCATTATGGTGTCTCCCGCAGGTCACTCTGATAATGACCGGAGAATGCCCTGTCGGGGCATTATGGTGTCTCCCGCAGGTCACCCCGCTGCAAACACAGGTGACCTGATTTTGCCCCGACACCGATTTCGTGTGACGCGCCGTTGGTCAATGAGATCACACCATTTTAACCTGCGGGTGACAACCGCGAATGTCTGAGATGGGGGAGAGCGCTCGTGGGGTCCCGCGCCGAACAGGCGCGGGAAGGCCGTCCAAGCGCGCGCCAGTTGGGGTTGCGCGCGCGGGTTCAAGGGCCATTTTCTCGGCCCAGGGGGAACATCACCCAGCCAGAGTGCGCCTGGAGGGCGATGGGGTGACCAGGAACCCCACCACACATATATCCCCCAGGACCCGAATCTGCCGGGACACTGCCTTTAAGGAGCTCACACACTCATTGCAGAGATAAAAGTGAAAAAAGAAGAGCATTCGAAGTGGTAATCAAGTTAAGTCGCCAGAAATCTGGAGCGGTTGCGAAAAATCTAGAACCTATGTTTCTATGACTTAGTGAAAAAAGTGGTGCTGTTTTAACGTCTACATGAAACTGATGATTTTTTGAAGTGACATGTCAAGCATTTTTGGCATTTTCGATTCTAAGTTCAAAATTTGTGAGTTCTCGGAGAAACGCAAACAGTACAGACTTTTTTGGCTGCAAAGACCAGGTCATAAAACTAAATATGTATCGACAATTTCAGATATTTCCGCAAAACTCCAGATTTTTGGCGACCCAACTCAAAGTGTTCACAGCCTGAATTTTCTTTTTTTCCAGTTTTATTTCTGCGATGAATGCGTGATATTAGCTCAGCTAAATAATTTTGAAAGAGGAAATTTTTATTTCTGTTGAATTTACAAGAAGTCGAATCCATCGAAACATATTTACAAATTTTCAAAAATGAAACGACGGAACTTCCGGGACAACTTAGTACAAGAGAAAGTTCTGATTTTTGAAGTGTTCAAGCAATGCCTTTCAGGAAGGAAAATTGCTAACTTTAACTTTCTTGCAAAGGTTGGTAGACTGTCATGTTCAGATAATCACGTTTAATTTTTGCTTGCTGCTTTGAGTACGAAATCTCAAGTAGTCATAACAAGATTTTTTTTCTAGAAACCAACCATAGAAGCTGTTAGAACAGCTAGAATGCATACAATCTTTTCCTATCACGAGTATGCTGAATCTCTCTAATTCAATGATTCTGGGAAAGCGCAGAAAAGCGAAATCTTTCGGAGTAACCAAACAGCAACAACAACGTGACTGCTTTGACTTCAACCAAGAAAAATTGTGCCTGTCGCCGACGCTGCACATATCGTGCATCCCCAGAATTGTTCCCGTATGAACCATCAACGTGGCTGCCTTTCAATCGCTTCAACACGTTAGTTCCCAGCAGATTGAAGGCGCATTCGAAGTTGACATGTCAAAGTGATCAAAAAACAGCCAGATGGTTTATATAGGAATAATTTTTGGGGATGCATTATACAAACATTGTATGTGCTTTTATGATGTAAAAAGAGATACTGGCACACTTACTCCCACTTTATCGTGAGCACACAAGTTGAGCAGTTCAAAAGCTGCAAAATGCTTTTGCACTATCACATCCTAATATTAGTAGCATTGCAAATGTTCAGTCTTTCACTCAAATTCCTTTGCTTTTCAGATTTTCAGTTTTTTTTTCGGTAAAATGTTTTGGAATGGATAAAGATTTTCTTACATGTTCAGCTTGTCGTACTAAAATATGCTATTTGGAATTATCCATATTTTGTTAGTTACAAGCAGCTGCTTACATTTGAGCATTTTTGTGTTGGCTTGAAAAGTTATGCGAACAAGAGTAGCTTTACATAGAATCAAGATGCTTGCTTTGCAAATGTGTAGCTTACTAAAATGTGGTGCTATTTATGTATTGTAATGGTGAACACATTTTTTTAGATTGTGATATTCTACAATGGTCATTTGAAGGCGACATTTCGCAGGCTAGCTTCAGAAAACCAAGCTTTCGAAGACAGCAGCTGACCTTTAATAAATGGTATACTGGTTTGCTAGCTATGTACACAAAAAAATCCGTAAATATCTTTTACTTAG